ACGTTTGGCTGACGAGAAGACACTGGAAGGTGTGTACTACGGGGATGATATATCTATAACGTCACACAAGCGTGGAGATGTACGGGGAAAAACCAACAAGTTGGCGGAAGAAGAAGAAGCAAAGACAGCAATCTGAGCAAATCTAGAGAAGGCAAAGGTGCTGACAACTCCCAGATAACAACAACAGGCATCATTCACCACCAATGGGAAAATTTAACTAATATAAGCGACATCATCTTGACTACAGACTGCACAAGTTAGGATGTCAAAATTAAGATGGTAAAAGCATTAAACAGACATTCAGCAATCTGCGAAGAGCGTGCAAATCTGTCACACTAAGCACGAGGAATGAAATTCTGATTTTCAACAATGTCAAACCAGTGTTCCACAATAGTATAAATACTCGAAGGGTCACGGATAGCATTTGCCGATGGGCTGCTGCAGACTCTAATCAGCATCTGCCTCCGCTTAATATTGAAGATCGGTTGGCCAGCATGAAAGAATGGCCGACAAGAAACCCGCCACGAAACATCCAAGAATCAATCACCAAACAAATGTGCAGGCAGAAATGAAAAAAGGTTGAATATAAAAAAAATCCCCATTTAGACATTTAGAAAACAGAAAGATTGAGCGAAGAAATATTTACTTTTCAATTAGATCCTCATCTCTGGCTCTGCTCTAATATATAATGTTGTCCTTGATGACATGGATTTGCAAGTATTATCACTAGGCACTAAGTTTTGTGATAATCATGTTAGAATTAACAAGATGGATATGCAAGTTCAGTTCGAAAACTTCTTTGCACAAACTGAAGGCTTGACACCCTCGTCAGCTGAGGTAGTTGAAAGTCTTAAATCAACTCTAGTCGACTGTTGTTATAAATATATAAATAGCAAACGGAAACTAAATAGCTTATTGACCAAGAAACACAGGGAAGCCCTAGATAAGCTGCGAAATAATGAGCATATAATAATTTCGAAACCTGATAAAGGCTCTGGAGTAGTAATAATGAATAAAACTGAATACATAGATAAGATGAATGGAATACTCAGTGATCATCGAAAATTTCAAAATACCTCATCCTCCGTTAGTCCGACAGTAAACGTGGGGATAAACTAACTGAGATACTACAAAGTAGCATCATAGACGGTTTATGTGAATATTTAAAGCCTGCTGGCACGGTTACACCAAGATTATATGGACTGCCAAAAGTGCATAAAATCGGTTTACCGCTTCGACCAGTGCTGGACATGTGTAATTCCCCATATCATGCAACAGCAAAATGGCTAGTGAAGCTCCTAAAGCCTCTGCATAATGAATTGGTAAAACATAGCGTAAACGGCAGTTTTGAATTTGTTGAAAAAATAAGAGATCTTAATTTGAGGGACAAGTTTATGATATCTTTTGATGTATCCTCCTTGTTCACCAATGTACCGTTAATGGAGACAGTGGATTTTATATGTGAGGAGATTACTACACGAAACATAGACATCCGCATTTCTGTATCCACCTTGAAGGAACTTATTTTAAGATGTACAATGAATGTTCATTTCTTATTCAATAAGTAATATTACAGACAAACCGATGGTGTAGCTATGGGTTCCCCATTAGGTCCAATCCTAGCTGATTTTTTCCTCGCTAAATTAGAGAATGGACCACTGAAAGGAGTAATTAATGACATGGATTTCTACTGTCGATATATAGATGATACATTTGTGGTTATGAAATACGAGAATGATGCAATGAACATCCTTGACAAGTTTAATGATGCACATTCAGCAATAAACTTTACCATAGAGAAAGAAAGTAATGGCAGCATCTCATTCCTAGACGTCTTCATAACAAGGAAAGAAAATGGCACACTTAGAAGGACTGTGCATAGGAAACCTACAACAACAGGTCAGTACACTCATTTTTTGAGTTTTGTACCTTTGAAATATAAATGTAACCTGGTAAAGTGTCTGGTTCATAGAGCTAGGTTAATTTGTTCAGACGACTGTCTCAATGAGGAGCTTAAGATTATTAGAGAATTACTTAGAAAAAATGGTTATCCAGATAAATTCATTGAGAAAAATACGAATTCACCACCAAGGAGAGTCAGTATAGCTACAGTTCCGAAAAAACCGATGTTCATAAAATTGCAGTTCCTCGGTGACAACATCAGTGAAATCATAACACAGCGCTTGAAGAATGCAGTTAAAAGAGCTTATTATGCATCAGAAGTACATTGTCTCTTCAAAACCACCCCTATTCTATGTTCGAGAAATAAGGACAAACTACCTAATTTTGCCTCTTCTATGTGTGTCTACCAGTTTGACTGCAGCTGCGGAGCCAGCTACATTGGGCGCACAATTAGGCAGGCTCATCATCATATTTCTGAACATCATCCAGCGTGGTTAAGCAAGGGACAAACAAGATCTATTCGTAGTCCTATTTTAGCACACCTTGTTGATACTGAGCATAAGGTTGACGTTGATACAGCATTTAAAATTATTTATCGCACTCCTACTAACCTTAATTTTGCTTTACGAGTTCGTCTTCTACATACAACTGAAGCAATAGGAATCCACCTGAAGCAGCCAAACCTGTGTGTTCAGAAGAAATTTGTACAGCCATTTTCCTTACCGTGGCCATCGTTACAAGAATGCATAAACAGGACTACGTCGCCCCCCTCCCCCTAAACCTATTAAATTATAATTGTCCAAATTATTTTTATTTATTTTGACCACTTCATCTTTAATTACGTGTTATCCTTGTGAAATTAATTTATTCTAACCATTTCTACCTTTTAAATGTGTATTGATTCTCTTCGTTAATTATCAACCCATTGACATTTTGACACTGTTTAAATATTGTTAACAAACATATCACCACTTGTTTGGTAAACTGTTGTGTATTGTAATAAAAATGCTACACGTGTATATTAGAGTAGAGCCAGAGATGAGGATCTAATTGAAAAGTAAATATTTCTTCGCTCAATCTTTCTGTTTTCTAAGGGTTGAATACACGCTGAGGTGACCACATGTGTCAAACAGGTCACGGTGGGAACGCAAATAGGAAGCGACGACTTCGGCTTCAGCCTGAGGATGATGTCCAGGAGATGGTGCAAGTAGGAAATGAGAGATGATGAGCAATTATGGAGCCGGTTGGGAAGAGCACAATGAGTGGGTGTACGTTCCATATAGAAGCCAAGAGGGCAGTGATAGACATCAGATCAGAATAATATGTATCGATCCCATTTCTTTGGATTTCCCCAGCTGTGCAGAATGTGTTTCAGTTATTCCACACTTTCAACATATTTTATTCCACTATGTCACAGTGAGATGAACCATAAAGATGCCGAATAATATGCGAAGTGTTGATATATTCTACCGTTTATAATTTCAGTGTATATACTACACAATCTGACATTCTCCTTGTGTAATGTTCTTTTTAAGTGGATGAATGTATTTTCAAGATTCTGTTCCTAATTTATTCGTCTCAGTGATTTTCTGACCAATCTTACTTACTGCTCAGATTACCACGACACAAATATAGTTGGATATAAGCTGATTGTGGCACTACTCACAATTCATTGTCAAAAAGTGAGCAAATTCAAGAGATTATTTGATAAAAAATATTCTTCTCGTTTTGAAGATTATTACTATCAAACATTAAGCTATTCCTCTGTGTGCAGGAATCTGAATAGCTTTAATTCACTATAATGAGGTGATTGACAATTTCTATTACTGTATTGTTTAAATACCCACTGTTGTTTGTTAACATTTACCATAATAATTACAAATTATTCCGCAAAATACAAATTCCTATATTCATCCCTCCCTGTGTTGTTGGTTGATACCCTTTAATTCAGTCATTGCGAAATACTACTATTACAACAACCATGGTTAACCTGCGATGTGTTGTTTTTTGTCATCATATTTACTGACAAGGCAAAAAATTGACTGTAAAACTCCGTGTAAAAAGTCTGACACTGCACGTTAATAATTGGGGCACTCGCGATTACGGAGAATCGTTATTTATTGCGTTCAAGGAAGTGTTGACGAAAAGGTGAAATCTGTTATTATGAGACTATTCTGCTAACCAAAAATCCTCAGATAATAAGGCTGTTTATATGAGAGATAGAGTAGTCACTTTAAAAAAGGATTTAGGAAGGTTTCATTATCGTTTGGTGTATTTGCATGACCCTTCACTTTATAAAATTGACTGGAGAAATTATGTACAAGTCAACTAGCATTTAATAACTTTCTTCGGATATTTTTGAAAATGACACAAAACAGAGGAATCAATCTTAATTCCGTTTACGCTTATTTATAAAAACATCCTGTTCATATATTCTGCCCAATCTAATATTCAACTTCATATCAATGTTAACTTAGCTTGTCAAGGCGTTTTGATTTTAAAACCAAAAATAATGATTATAAGTTAAGATTTTAATTTCAGCATTTAGGTCTCGTCACGTACCAAAATCACTAAGAGAATCAGGGAGCATTGGATAGTTACTTCGTCCTGTTTTGAGACAGCAGTGTGCACCTACGATCCCATTAGGGATCAAAAACGGGACCATCATGTTACGAAGACAGCTCGTCGATCATTCAGTGATTTGGACCGGACTTTACCATCCGGTGAATTCTAAATCCTGTCTATTCGTGATGTATGGCTATCACCAACGAATACCGTCGATAAGCATTCAGTTCACTTTGACATGGTGGGCTCCACTGACCACGACTTCTTACTGCAGAACACCCACTAACGAGCTAGAGATTGTTAATTAGACTACAAGTTTCGGACTAATTTCAAAGTAGATTTCATCACGAAGCAACAGCTCCGTAACCTGGAGATCCCGGGAACTATCTGTGCGTGGTGGGATCGTAGATGCACATTGTCGCTCCCTGCTGGCTTTTAATGATTGCCTATTCAATGTTGATTAGTGACTAAATCTAAGTGAAATTAACCGAAATCCTCCTTGCAAAAACTCGGAATTTCGAAATAATTTGAAAGTTTTAATATATTTAAGAATATGCAATATTTAATGAACAGAAAAAGTACTGAATAAAATTAAAAAAAGGTTTATATTAGCACAGCATTATTTAAACTGATTTCTAACAATCATTTACAAACTGCTATGTGTTGTAATCAATGTGCACAAAGTACTGGCAAAGTGTGTTTGGTATAAAACTGATTTTAAAAATAAGACTACCTTGTTGTTTAAAATAAGTAGCTGAGAATGTCCACGATATATTATTATAAAAAGCTTTAAAGTAAAATCAGAAAAATAGTATTAATAAGGATTCATGTATATATATATATATATATATATATCACATTTATGTCATTGTACCAAACACTGGATTATGACGACATATCGCTGGACCGAACTCTTCATATTGAGCTTTTGTATGACAGACGTTGTAAAATTCACTCTGTATGAAATCAAAAGAGAAGGACAGACGGTGGAGTAACTCGTGTTTGTACGTTCATATGATTCAACTCTAATCTACTTAAATATCATAAAATATTGTGTGAAGGACTTAAGTCTTTTAGTTAAATTTTCTTTATTCCTTTAGGTTCCCTGTGGAATATAGGGCTTGAAGTTTCTGTAGCAGTGGTGATTATTTTTACAGGAGGGGGTTGCTATCCTTATGCCCAACCTTCCCTCTTTACCAGTCTTATTACTGGCTTAGCGAGGTAAAGGAGTGCGTCGGCCAGGGATCGAACCCCGGACCATCTAATTGGTCGGAGAGCACTATACCACTGATGCACCTTTTAGTTAAATAGAGAGATTGAATAGGAGAGAAGTGTGACGTATCATCTCAATGCAAGGTTCGTCTTGAGAGTCACAAGCATTTAAGCGTGCTAAAAAAATAAGGGGATCTAACGTGGAGACTACAGTCTGTACGCTTAATTCACAGGACAAGATCGACACTTAAGACTGATTGATCATTGTTTATTGACCGGATAATGAACACTAATCAGTTCAGCAGAGGATTATCTGTTACTTGAATATATGAGAAGTATAGGCACTGAATTCGACATTGGGTGATGTATGTGTGTGTGAGTTCAAGTTAAGAAAGGAATATGATTTCCTCTGAGAGGATGGGTAGGAGCTGGTGACTGGCGAGTACGAACAAGTATGAAGGTAAGATTACAGGATATCCAGAAGACTCACTTCCAGTATCCAACTGCAAACACGACATGTAATCAATTGGCTTCATCAATCATAATAATAAGACCTTTTCATTGATATGAGAAAAGAACTTGTGCACTGTCGTAGAGTATAATTCTATTGTGTGTAAAATTTATTTTGATAAATTCTCAGTGTTATAAAGTAATATTTACTGATGAACTTTCGACCACAATTCAATGCTCATAATCATGTTAAGTTACTCACACAACATTCTAACTTCATTTATATAATTCCATTAGTTTTCATCGCCTGACTTGATTGGTAATAGTATTTTCTGTATTTCCGGTATTAGTGATGAGTCATTCCTGTTTCACGTGTTGGGTGTAGATTCGATGAACAAAGATTCAGTAGTCAACGTCTCTCCACCGACATATGCATTAACGCACAACCACACAATAGGGTGGGGGAGGGTTAGAATTCTACGAAGTAATATAGGTAGGTGGAAAGAGAGGTTGACTACTCAATCTTTGTTTATAAAATCTACACTCAACACGTGAAATAGGAATGACTCATCACTAATACCAGAAATATAGAAAATACTATTACCAATCAAGTCAAGCGATGAAAAATAAGGGAATTATATAAACGAAGTCAGAATATGTGCAATAAACTGTGCTCGAAACGTCATCAGTTAATATTACTGTTCATCACACTAGTGTTTTATCCAAACATCCTGTATATTTTGTTATTTCTACATTTCTAACCCCCAATTGCACAATGTCAATCTTCTTAGTTATTATGCTACTTTGTTTGAGTTTTACCCATCCCCCCTGTTTGTTATGTCATTTTAATTCCTAATTGTAATTTTTTATTAATTTGACCCCTAACCAGAAATTATTCTGGAACTTTCCTATCTATTTGATATAAATACACGAATGTACAGCCTAGATGATGACTTCGTCGAAAAGAAAATTTTCTTCGCTGCAACTGTCTTTTTATTCCCTATGATCAAATGTGTATATTCCGTAATATTACTGTATAACACTGTGATTTATCAAAATAAATTTTACCCACAATGGAAGACCTTTTCATCTCTAGCTATAACTGTGTCACCTATATTATTTAGACGTACGCAGAGACAAAATAAAAGTATCAAAGGAATAGACTTTAGAATGCTCAGAAGGAAAAAGGACATAGAAGTTTCTTTAAACCATTTATTGGTGTCAAGTTTGATCGCAAATTGATATCAGTTAGAGAACGACTGTGAAAACTAGGAAGATTTGGATAGCCATTTCATCTTGGTTTGGGACTCTTCAATAGTATGGATCCGTGACCCCACCGGGGATCGTACTCAGAGGTCTTCGGGTTACGAGGATACTCTCGTTGACCACTCCAGCCACTTGGTTTTCAATGGTTTTCTAACTGACATCAATCCATGATCAGACTTGAATCAAATCAAATCGCTCCAAACTGGCTCTTGAACATTTATTGATGACTGTAAATACAAAGCTTAAGGTTTAATATTCTAACTGCCTTACCACATTCTTTTACACATACTGGTAAGAAAGAAAAAAGGTAAAGTACTTACCTCATTCGCGAGTAACGATCCACCGAACCACACAGCATAACGTTGCATTGGATGTGAGACAACTTTGACATCTACAGACTTCGGCTAAAATAACACAAATCAAGAAGTTGAAATCAACAAAAGATATGTACAAACTATTATATACATATAAGCGAATCTATAATGAAGTATTTAAGGTGACGACTACCACCACTCAGAAATAAGCATACTGTAATATAGTAACAACAGTGAGGTTGAGCGTAAATTGTTAGGGAAGGAGGGGAAGTCAATCGATGGGATTGTGAAGCTATATCGATAGTTCCCCTCCTTTAGATGTTAACCTTTCTAGCAATATGCCCTGTTAGATTTAATCTAGAGAGCTTAATCATTTGAAACTACCACCTGAATTCTGACTAGCTACTTGGAGAAAACTGGTTATCACTCATAAAATCAAATTTACTAGCAAAATATATACACCGGTTGACGTGAGTGATTTCCAGATACTCATATGAGTCTTTCTTAATTGTTATTTATAATATTATGCCAAGTATATACAGTGATGTGGACATTTTTGGTTTCTAAAAGGAGACTTTGGTAGATTTTCACCTAGAAATGTAGTTTGCAAATAGCGAATTTGATTCAGTAGGACAAAAAACGACTAGCAGATCTTTATTGTAGGCAAGCCATTTGGCACTCAGATACTCAGTCTGAGGCGAACAGAAACAACTTTGACATATAGGGAGGTATAACTGTACCACATGGCTAATTATTCCTCCACGTAGATTTCTTTATGAACTGAAAGCCATTGAGATGCTTCCTTCAGACGGGACTTACTATGAAATCAGTTTAGTATTATTATTATTATTATTATTATTATTATCACTGAAAACACAAACTTTGCATATTATGAGCACCGACAGATATGCCATACGAGATCCTGTAGTTCGTACAAGCCCTGGGATACTGACTGGGTGCCCATACCGAGGCAGGTAATGGTCTTAAAGGACCACACAGAACGTCCGAGCCTCTGATCCACAAGACAGTGGAGCTACGTCCACATGGTTGATAGTGACCAAAACAGCTTCATACGACACTGGGTCCCTTCAAATTTTGGTTTGGTATCAGGGTTTTCCAGACCCACCAGGTAGACTTGCATGTCCACCAGTATGGTTGTAAGCCTCAAACGTTTGAATTCACCCTTTTACGCAGTAACTTGATATAATTCCGCCGATGATTGCTGGTTGACAGTGAACTAGACTTTTTGTTACTATAGTGAGTTGTCGCCAATAGGATTTATTACTTTCAGATTTGAGAACATATACCACTAAAATTGGATGGTGGTTGTGCTATATTACAAACTGAAAGAAGTATTGCTTGCCTCAAAACTCAACAACCTCTACCTTTATCAGCCGTGAAGTTGTAGATGGGCACTAATGAACTGTCTCAAACTAGAACAAAAGGACTGACCAGTATAGTTTTTGGTTCCCAGCGATTCACAATAACTTGTCTGGATTCATAGCAAAGTCGATTTTTTTTTAAAGTAGTCAAATCTTACAAACCTAAAGATTTATACATTCTTAACTTTAAATACCTCATCTTTCTGGATTATCCTATTTAATACTCTCTTATGTATGTATTACACAGAATGATAGTCGTTTTTACTTCGACTCACTACTGAAACGTTTCTTTTAAAAAGAAAACACTCCGATAATGTGAAAAAGTCACATGCGCAGAAAAGAGATGGAGGTTGCATTGGATAAATGTGCGCCGGTGGTTCAATGGTAGGGAATGCGCCAACCACGCCATATATGGTCCAGCTCGGGAATTGATTCCCCACCGAAGCACTCCTAAAATTCCCTAAGTCGGTATTAAACCCGGAAAAGATGGGAGGCTAGCAAACCCAACCTGTAAAAGAAGCATCACTGCTAATGAAACCCAAACGCCCCAACTTGAAGCCCTATGCTCCATTGAGAACGCGCAAAGAAATGATATACATAATAAACAGAAAGGAACACTTTTGCCTACCTTTACACGACCACCAGTAAGTTCCTCTGTCATTTTCAAACGATTATCAACATTTCTTTTTATATCTCTTTGTAAACGACGATCCAAGTGTTTAAACATTGAACTACCTCCAGATAAAACAATATTCTACGAAAAAGGGCGAAATGAATTTACATTAATACTGTTATTATTATTCGTGACAAAGAACGGTTTTAAATCCTTAACTGACACTAAATTTATGCAAAACACTGTAATATTACCCTACTAAGCATATGATAAGGAGATTATTTAGGCTACAAATATCCAACTAAAATAATAAAATTACAAAAAAGAAACCAGGTTATACAATTAATTTACCTGACGTAAAGTGTTGGAAATAAACTGGAATTAGAATTTTTGCGGAAACTATCAATGCATACGGAAGACTACTACCTCTACAAACGGCCTGATACGATCAAGGATGAGCAAGCTCGCATCATGCGGCCGCGCGTTCATTGCCTCTGCCAGGTAAATCTCATTCACTGCCTTCACAAAAGTGAAAGTGCGAATGCGAAAGTCTGGTGCTTACATATAAGTATAAAACTTGGTCACTGTGGTAGAGTGTAACTCCATTATGGATAAGATTTTATTTTCATAAATCACACAGTGTTACACAGTAATATTAACTGATGACGTTTCGAGCACAAAATATTGCTCATTTTCAAATAAAACAAATATTAAACAAAATAATATAATTTACAAATACCTTGCAATGACTATGAGGTCAACTATATAGGTCAACCTAGTAGATCGGGGGTAATCAGATTGTCGGAACAAGAATTTAGCTAAGGTAAGAATGGTTGACCCCAAGAAGATGAGTAATTTAGAAAAAAGCTCAGCAATAGCACTGCATGCATTAACACAAAACCATACAATAGGGTGGGAGAGGGTTAAGATTCTAAGAAGTAATCTATGTAGGTGGAGAGACAGATTGATTACTGAATCCTTGTTCATTGAGTCTACACCCAACACATGCAACAGAAATGACTCAATGCAAATACCAGAAATATGGAAGATATTATTACCGCCAGTCAAATCAGAAGAGAATAATAAATAATCTCAAAATTTTATTTCACTTCAAGCACATCGCAACATTCTAACAAGTTGCTTATTATGACTAAAAACACTCGTCTCATTTCCCATCTGATTGTAATTGATTAATAACACTCGTATTATTATTTCTGAATGTATATTATCACATATTGATTTTTATTCAAATATTTGGTCAATTCCAGACATGTATATAAATGAAGGAAAAAAAGTTGTGTGAGTAACTTCATATGATTATGAGCAATAGTTTGTGCTCGAAACGTCATCTGGTGCTTACAACTGGTCTACGTAGAGGAGGTGGAAAAACTCTGATTCAAAAAAATATGGTGTATATATTCTCTAGTCTCCGAAAGGATCCAATGGCGTAGGAACCTGTTTTGGACAACATCAAGCATGGGAACGTAGCTCCTGATGTGCCCTCACTGTCTTGTGAATCAGACTCCAAGTCAAAGGGTCGGTTGGATGTATGGCCCCTCTTAAGACAACCTGCTTCAGTCTGGGCGTCCGAGCAACATGAGATATTTCGTGTGCTGCATCTCTTGGAGTCCATAATGTACCAAGTCTGTGTTCCAATAGTAAAAATAATAAACTAAAAAAGCTATACTGTGAATGATAGAAGATTCTCTCATTAGTCAGTAATCAGTAATATAACTTTGGCTTATTGGTGTAAGTAAACAACTACCAACTCCTAAGTAATGAGTTGCACGAAATTGTATTCAAGTAGTTAGGGGGAATACCGAGTTTTTATTTTTAAAAAGTGTGAGTTAAGCTTTAGTGTACAATCTTGTATGTGGCTGTTAGGTGGCATGCAATTCAAACCACTGCAATTTTTTTGCTGAAGTCTGATTATCTGTTGTATCAATCAAGAGTTTGTATATAGTAGGATAAAACCGATAAGTATAAAATGATAAATACCTATACATGAAGATACATTTTTATAATACTTCAGGTAAGATTACTGCTCTTAATCAGGTTACAAGAAAGTGTGGAGTGATGCGGCTAAGACGTGGCACAAGTTTATATAGTCACTGATTATTGCCTGTAATTGCATACACAACTTGACTCACTAGTAATTTATAGTTGGACACTCTACGTGTTGTGGTTTATGATTTATTCCAACAGAACATATCCATTCATTCCCCATAATATCATATTTCCCTCAGTAACCTAATATTTAAACTTTTCTGACATGCCACATTTTCTGCATTGCATAATGCATATCTCACAGAAACTGTCTCCTATATATGCTATTTTATTGACTCACATAATTCAGGGCTGCCAAAAAATTACCTTACAGAACTCTTACTAAAATAAGCATTCAGCACAGCTTCAATACTGAAATTTATAGACAGAAGCATGGGATCGCGATGGGATAACCACTGGGTCCACTGTTGGCTACTGTTCTATATCAAAGCTTGAAAACACTCAGCTTAGTCAAGCTATTAGTCACTTTGATATTTGCAGAAGCTATGTAGGCGACACATGCATTATTTGTGACAAAGACGTAGTATTTGATGATATTTTGCTATCATCCAACAACTGTCATCCATGCTTACAATCTACAATAGAAAAAGAATTGGAACTAAGCCTTTTTCTTCTTGATGAGCACCTCACTAGATGTAACAGTTCCATCCACCGAAAACGCATATGGAATCGACAACATACCGATATGTACAGTTAGTTGCCTATCTCCAGCAGAAGCAACTTGATTCATTCGCTTTGCCATAAGTATAGGAAGTACTTGTAATTTCTACTGTGTTGACGAAGAACATTCCTTCCTAAAAGCTACGCTTGCAGAAAACAGTTACCCGAACACATTTATTGACAAAAACACGAAAGATAAGCAAACCCACTGGTCACTGATTTAGTTCCAAAGAAAACCATCTTCATGAATTTGAAAATCAAAGGTGATCAGAATTCACGTATGCTCAGAAATCGTTTCTCTAAACCTCTCAGAAAGACTCCGTTTGCATATAAACTCCAACTAACTTTCACGAGCCGGAATTTGTTCTCCGCTTCTGTAAAAGATAAGCTGTCTCGATGTGCCTTTCAGTTAACATGTTCTCGCGGAGTAACATACATTGGTCATAACCAAAGAATGATCTCCACACAGATGCGAGAACTCGGGGAAACAGGTGGTAAAAGGCAATTGATAAGGGAAACAATCTCTGGAAAAATGGTACCATAATTAGCTCCCAGGATAGACGTCTGGAACGCTGGAAAGAACACTACGAGGAGCAGTTTAATTGGCCTACAGCCATGCTTAACTAACCGAACATCCAACACCTGCCTGAATAGGATATAGACACAGGTCCACCGTCCCTAACTGAGGTTACTAGAGCAGCCACTAATCTGAAATGAGGCAAAGCAGCAGGACCTGATGGAATGGCCCCAGAGGTAATTAAGGATGGCGGAAACAGTTTATTGTCTGCGTTAACTGAGGTACTAGGTAGCGTCTGGGAATCAGAGGAATTCCCATCGGGTTGGTGTCAGTCACTGATCATCCCGATATACAAGAAGGGAGACATGTCTTCCTGTGATAACCACAGAGGGATTAGCTTGATTAATATGGTATCTAAAGTCGTAGGCTCAATAATATTGCGTAGACTAAGTGGTGCTCGGGAGGCACAAACACGAGAAAACCAGGCAGGTTTTAAGCCAGGAAGAGGGTGTATCGTTCATATCTTCACCCTTCGATAGATTCTAGAACATAGGCATTCTTACCGGCGTCCAACAATCATTATATTTCTTGACCTAAAGGCGGCATTCGATCCTGGCGACCGAGAGATACTCTGAAGATGCTTGACTGCAAAGGAATTGCCGAGAAAATACATTGCACTGATTAAGGCACTCCACCCGTACTCATGCACCCAGTCAGGTGAGGGCTTACCGTGAGTTGTCATCTGAAGTGGTGACGACTAGTGGCGTCCGTCAAGGATGCCAATTATCCCAATTTCTATTCAACTTCATTATAGATGTACTACTGGGCTTAACCCTAACTCACTTCAGAGACTCAGGGATTAACTTGTTACTAGGGAATATTCTCGTTGACTTTCAATATGCAGATGATATAATCCTTCTTAGTGAAGACGCTGACAAAGTGCAGAGTCTTCTGAACAACTTGAGCTGCAGTCTTCGATTGTTTGGCATGTGATTCGCTCCCGCCAAATGAAAGATGATGCTACAGGACTGGACGACATTGACTCCTAGCTTAGAAGTAGGAAGTGAAGTTGTAAAGCACGTTCAATACTTCACTTATTAAAAGAAGTGGCATCAGCTCCAACGGGCTGACCACTTACGAAATCTCAGCACGGATACAGAAAGCTCGGTTCGCAGTTATTATTACCGGTAGCTGAAGGCAATGACTTAACTTGAAAAAAATATATCTACGCCATCTTAACAGATAAGGACACAACCGCAACGGTCCACATGATCGCTGACGAAATCTCAGCACGGATACAGAAGGCTCGTTTCGCATATGCCAGTTTACGCCGTCTCTGGCGCAGACGTTATATCCGGCTACCTATCGACCAAAGACCGTGTGTACTGCTCACCAGTCCACTCCGTCCTCCTTTATGGTTGGCTGTGAGACCTGGCCATCGAGAGTGGAAGACATGAAAAGGCTGGCTGTCTTTGATCACAGATTCCTGTGTTCTATCTCCCGTGTGAAGTGGTATAATAGGGTAAGCAATATTGAGGTTGGGCGTCGAGTGCTAGGTAAGGAGGGGAAATCAAACAACATGGCTGTGAAGCTACATCGACTGAGATGGTTAGGACATGTGTCACGTGTGCCTAGCCATCGCCTTCCTCGACAATGGGCAATGTTAGCTGACATACGGTCAGGCTGGAAAACAGCTAGCGTTGGTCAAACGAAAACATGGCACCGGTCAATGAAATCTACAACAGTTAGTTTAAGCCACGTAGGGAGGTGTAGACTGGCTTCCTGGTTGGGGTCCTCGGGACGGTAAAAACCAATGGCTGGAAACAATCGGTGATATGGCTCAAAATCGTTCTCAATGGCGTAAACTCCTTGTGACTTATAATACTCAATGAAACTATACTGTTCTTCGTTATTACTCATATCTCTGTTTACTGTCTCTATTTTGCATTTCTTCTCTTGCTCTTTGTGCTACAGGGTGTGTGGCGACTTGAACTGCTGCACATCGGTACAATGTTCTATGTTGAAAACAGTCAGTCAGGATGCGAGAACATATTCCAGCATAGGGGGAGAAAGGAAGGGTGTGTGACACTCTTGATCAACTTGTCCCTGTACCAACCCCGATTATGATTTTAAGATCATCCATCCTATTCATGTTAACTTGCCGTGTTTTCTTCGTTCTAAACTTAGAGAGATAGCTGACATCTTGGCCATTCTTAATTTCAAGTCAGACCTTTGTGTACAAAGGAAGTAGGTACAGTCGGTATATCTCTACCTTGGCCGTAGAGAGATATAAACAGTAATTTATTTCTGATTTTGTTCATTCATTTTGCATACCTTTCCCTTACTATTATAAAGATTGCTATTATTGTTAAGCTCTTCACTTTAAACAGTTTCCCGTATTATTCAACTTATCCTGCTAAACTGCTCACCATGCTACGTAGCGTTTTCACTTGCCTACTAATCCTAACAACTTCACACCCCTTTTCCAGGATGTATACATTTTATGAACTATTCTATGCATCACTCAATTCGTTTCATCATTTGATACTGAAATATGATTAAAATCACAAACATTTTGTCATATTTCACAATACTATTCTAGTATAGGTATTCACACTCTTTGGGATATAGTTTCTTAAGAATCATATACATACAAGTGCACAGTTTGGTAATACATTCGTAGGAGTCTGTTTACTGAATATCGTGTTCTTAATGCTACAGTGAGAATTATAAAATAACACATTAGATTATTTATACTTTCATATGAACTGTGATGAGGATTTGACCGGATATTTGCAAAATAATTGAGCGCTGAGTGAGAAGTAGACATTTATAAAATTATATTTGTTAAATCTCAGCGAAATTGAAATGATTAATTCCAACGTTTCGTTCGGCAAGTTCGGACCAGATTGTCGAATTACTCATTTCAATTTCGCTGAGATTTTGCAAATAAATTTTATAAATGTATATTTATACTTTAACTGGTTTTCATATATGCTTATTATTGTTATAATTGATATGATTATGAACAATAAATTTTGTTCGAAACGTCATCCACTAAGTAATACTGTTTCACTGTGTGATACATCTAATAATTAAACTAATGTGGAGTTTATTACTAACACAGTGCCCACATTTTACACATATATTAATATGCTTAAGGCCAGTTACGCAAACTGTTAGTTTTTGAAGTTGTATCCATGTGAAGATCCTACTGGCGGCTACAAGCAGCCGCAAGGTAGATCGGGATGTACAATTTTCAGGGTCTACTTTCTCTAACCCCTTTCCCCCACACATAACGGAGAGGCAGCATAGCTAGCTCGCTTCTCATCCTAGGGGAACACGTTACTGCTGTTACATTCATATTCATCCTCAGTGCTTGGACATAGTGTGAGCGACTCAACACCTTTGGTGGCAGCTGCTTTCAGCCTAATCACTATCCACACGACCTTTCTGACATGCTACGAACTGCAGAAACATTCTTTTTAGTCACTTAACTCATTGAATCATTGCTATATACAAACCCAATGACCACATCAAGTTAGCAGCTATCAGCCGGGTCGTGTGAGTAAACCCACTTGCATCTACCAAGGTTTTCGGTAATTCGATGGTACCCTAGCCAAGCAGATATAAATTAATGCTCAATATACATGCATATATACCCACAGCTTAATAGATAAAATCCAGTTAAAACTGAAGAAGATTTAGCAGAGAACAATACTGATCATCCGTAAACAGCAACAAAAAAACAACAGCAAAACAACTTACACCATAAAGTCCACGACGTGAGTCAATAGGTGACTTCTGAATTACTTCGTCGACAACATCACTTAATGAAGTTGTAAAGTCTGGATTGACAAACTAAAATGAAAATAAATAAACCAAAAAAAACAAATAAAACATCCGAGTAAATCGAATGAAGGCAGATATCTGCTGCTAATGAGGATGTTAATGAATCTGTATTCTAGAGAGACACAGTTACATCCATTTGAATAACCATTATTGCTCTTACGTGAGTAAATGCTTAAAATAAATAACTAAATACTAGTTTTTGATTCGAATGGTATGATTAAAAGACTTCGCTTCTCATTATCAAACTTTAAATGAAGCGATTTCACTGGTTAACTTCCCTTATTTGCCTACAGTATATGAATAACTTAGTCTTATGTAGAAGATATAAGCGTGAAGAGTCTTATGACGTTTACACAGGTTGGTGCCACATAGACAGGGGTAAATAAAACTGAAGAAATGAAAGCATGTGATATATCAAGGGAGATAAGCAGTAACCTTTCTGCCCTAATGTGATCTGTTTTGATTGGCATCAATGAAGCATGGAATTTTTTTTCTATTCCTTTACGTTCCTAGTGGAACATAGGGCTTCAACCTAGAGACTTGAACTTTCGGTAGAAGTGCTGTTTATTTTTGCGGGATGGGGTTGCTAGCCTCATGCCCAACCATCCCTCTTTACCAGTCTTATTACTGGTTTAGCGAGGTTAGGGAGTGCGTCGGCCGGAGATCAAACCCCGGACAACATGCGTGGTTGGGGAGCATTATACCGCTGTGCCATCGACGCACGAAGCATGGAATTAATGTTTCAAAATGCTTCATAGACACCAATCAGGAAGCTTATAATTCCTCACACAATACAAACAAGTGGTGACGGATTGTATAAAATGTTGCCATAGCCACCTATAATCTTACTTCAGATTAACTTTCTAATGTATTGGGGGAGAATTTACTAACCTGTAACTCTGAAAAAGGATTTTTATATTAACTATTGCGTTCCTACATCGTAACTCTATTACACGTAAGTGATTCCAGAAAAACCAGTCATGACCAAATGCATAAAGCCTTTGTAAATCCCCTAGTTCTAACTATTATTTTTTATTTTAACTGCTAAACTTCATAGTTCTATAAACATGAACAGAACTCATCACCAGACAGTACATTTAATCTCTACAAACCGTTTCGACATTTTGCTAGAGGGGAACTAGCATTATATTCATATGGAGGGCGAAGTAAAACTATAGGATCCCAAGGGATGCGAACGCTCCCATGACTTTGAACGCATGTTAGTCGTTGGCTAACGACAACTGTCATTATTATAGCGCAAATATGAACGCTATTCACCAACTACGGAGGAAATTTCACCCAGATCACGTTTTTAAGTATTGTTTGCACAATGTGTTAATAGCTCAATAGGGTTAGGATCAGGGTGATAATTAGGATTAGGGTTAGGATTGAGGATAACGGTTACGATTAGTGATAGGTTTGGAGTTGGTATTATTTATTTTATTATCCACACTAGTCTACTAAGCGGTCGTTGATTCCTTTACTGGACACCATACTAATTCAACCAAGGGCTTTTGGGAAGACTGCAAAAGAGGATAAGAGCGTTAAACGGGTTACAAAAGAAGCTCACCTTAAGTCACCTCGGTGAATATATGTACAGAAATTGGTCTAACTTAAAAACTGATATTCCTCATTATAAGTGGGACGTATTTTTAAGTCATGACAGAGAAAGATACCATGTTCAATGTGTTTTCATGCATTTTCTTGTAAATAAACGTCATTTTTTGTGCAAAGATCACTCATTCTTATGGTCGGTCGGCTCAGGGTCACTCGTGCGTTCGCATCCCTTTGGACCCTTTAGTTTAACTTTGCCATATGGAGGTCAGGGTTGCCAACCCTTTCTTTTGTGCGTATTCACCAAGTTCAATTAAAAAATCACTCCTTGTCAAACTGCATACATAACTTGCTAAACATATATATATACATTTATATAAATCAAACTATTCTTAATGTTATATCCATTCCTGAATGGTTCTTGTGTGAATTTTCACTTCAATGATGCCGCCACCGCACCCTCCGGAATTTCTAATGATTTGAAATTTCTGAAACAGACAGTTAAGCGCACAGTCAGTACGCATCGGTCAGTGTATTTGTCAAAATGGAAGTAATATCTGACTAACACAATATTCCAGTAATGGTTTTTTTTTAATTTGTGATGAAAAAAACTGTTTTTCCTTGTTATCATTCCTTACATCTTTTGAAATGGAAACAATATACAAATATATATGCATATTGTGCAATTAGTCATAATAGTAGTAATGATAATAATAATAATAATAGTAATAATAAAAATGGTCTTATCAATAATAAGGATGGAAAAGTGAGGCAATCTGTGATAACACGAATTAATGAAAAACAGCATGATTAAATAAACAACGTTCAGGTTGAAGTAGTCGATAAAGGCTAGTAAAAACAAATGAACCGATTAAGTAATGTTAGATTGTAAGGGAAGGAAATGAAACACGTTTATAATGAAGATAAGATTATTATTATTATTATTGATAAAGGTTAATAAGGTTAATAAAGCAGGATTTAATGAATTCATCAAATTTCGGTAGAACTCGTCAGCTGAATACTCTACATACACGGATATATACTTTTGAAGTTACATTGGGAGATATAGGACTGAATACTTTACATACACAGATATATATACTTTTGAAATTTTGCAGAGGCTTGTGCAATTCGAGTTTACAAACCAGGTCTCTGTGTACAAAAGGAGATGGTCGTGACTCTGAATCTACCATGGTAATACGTTGTACTTATAATTTTACCTCTTATTATTATTATTTTTATTATTACTATTATTATTCTCATTATTATTATTCTTGATTCATTTAAAACTATCCTTTATCAGTAGCATTATCTTAACTCACTTCAACACTATTATTATTGTTATTATAACTATTACTATTGACATCCCTCTGGTTGCAATGCTTGTTAAATTCTCTAGTGTCTAATTGTTTATCTAAGTGATGTAATTGAAGCGTAATGCAATTTATCTTAATTTTGATCTCCCATACTCTCTCTCCCCTTATCTAATTGAACATGGCCTGGAAAAACATTCGCAACTGTCTTTCTGCATGATTAATTCAATGTAGTTTATTTACTTATCAGTCCTATATCTCCCAATGTAACTTCAAAAGTATATATCCGTGTAGAGTATTCAGCTGACGAGTTCTACCGAAATTTGATGAATTCATTAAATCCTGCTTTATTAACCTTTATTGCTTGTTTTAAATTTGTATCGGGAAATAAATGTTTCCTATTATTGATAAGACCATTTTTATTATTACTAATATTATTATTATCATTACTACTGTTATGACTAATTGCACAATATATTCACCATCGTATTATCCTATAGACAAAACACCATGATTGGTTTATATTTGAATTTAATTTGTAAATTTATATATATTAGAGTTAAGCCTGATGAGATCTAATTGAAAACAATATATGCATATATATATATATATATATATATATATATATATACGGTTACTTACCTCTGGGTGGAAGAATATCTCTGGGCCTAGGAAACGTTCATAGCCAACGTCAACAGAAAAGGCCGGGTACTTAGCCGATTTTGAAACAACATGAGGTTTAATCCATTTATCTGGTTCACTGTCATACTTACTAAATTCTTTGGGTAAATCAGGACAAACGTATGAATAACTAAAGTGGCAAAAAAAGAGAATGAAAATAAATCAGAACAAAAAGAGAATGCAGCAGTCAACTACAAAGATATTGGCTAACCAAAATTAAATAAATAAAGGATAACAGTCAGACGTTATATAAAAGAGGAAATTTTATTTATTTATTAAAATATAGACTTGTTATTATAATGGGCAGTAAAAGATGGTGCCACGCAAAATTGTTTCGCAGTTTGTGCAAGCGTTGGGATACTGCCCGAACGGCTAGACCGAAGCAGGTGATTTTCTTAATAGGCTACTCGAATCTGATCCACAAGGCAGTAGAGCAGCGTCAGGATCTAAATCCCCATGGTTTCCTCCGAGCAAAACAGGTGCATAGGCCACTCGGTCCTTTCAGATTCTGGACCCCATATACATGGTCAGTTTGGAAGCAGGGTTTTTCAACTCCCCTAGGTGGGTAGACGTGCGTATCCACAAGTCTGGTTGTAAGCGCCAGACATTCTATTTCCCCCTTTCACTTTTGTGAAGAATACTCTTATTGTGTGATAGTAGTAAATAAGACTTATGTGGTGGCAGAAGGTATGAATGCGTGACCACATAAGAACATTTCGAGAGAGAAGACCGAAGTCTACCCACCCTCGGCTGTATCAGGCCGTTTGTAGGGCGGCAAATGTGATATCAAGGTCACTCACTATCAACATTAATGCTCAATGTTAGTTGGGTAGAGAAACTCAATACATTACGCAGGCACATCATCGGCCGATTTATCTACATCGTCCATTACTCTACTGTTTTTGTAATGGTTTTACCAAATACTAACAATGGTCAAGACTTGAAATCTAAACACAAAGCCTACTCACGGTAGATATCTTCCACACATAAAGAGTGCCACTCAGAGAACTGCTGTGTGGTCGAAATTCGAGAATTTGGGGAAGAATGGAAAGAAAATTAAAATATGACTCAAAACCAATCACAATAACTTAGATACATATTCAGAATTCCGTTTAATTAGAAAGTATATACCCCTCATGATAGACTTCATGAAGTGACACCAGCTATAGAACAGGAGTACGCTACTTCCCTGGTTCCAAACTCTTGCACAATGTGCACATAAGACCATCCAAAGGATTGAACTCGTAAACATCACGCTACAAATTGAAAATGACCAGAAGATAGTATCGTTCATCAGCTCGGATAGTTCATGAATCTACACATCTGTCATCTCAAAATCACAAAAGATTGAGCGAAGAAATATTTACTTTTCAATTAGATCCTCTTCTCTGGCTCTACTCTAATATATATAGCATTTTTACAATACACAACAATTTACCAAACAAGTGGTGATATGTTTGTTAACAATATTTAAACAGTGTCAAAATGTCAATGGGTAGATAATTAACGCAGAAAATCAATACACATTGAAAAAGTAGAAACGGATAGAATAAATTAATTTTACAAGAATAACACGTAATTAAAGATGAAGTGGTCAAAATAAAATAAAAGAAAATAATTTGGACAATTATAATTTAATAGGGGGAGGGGGGCGACGTAGTCCTGTCTTGTAACGATGGCCACGGTAAGCAAAGTGGTTGTACAAATTTCTTCTGTACACATAGGCTAGGTTTCTTCTGGTGGATTCCAATTGCTTCTGCTGTCTGTAGAAGACGAACTCGTAAAGCAAAATTAAGGTTAGTAGGAGTGCGATAAATAATTTTAAATGCTGTATCAACGTCAACCTTATGCTCAGTATCAACAAGGTGTGCTAAAATAGGACTACGAATAGATCTTGTTTGTCCCTTGCTTAACCACGCTGGATGATGTTCAGAAATATGATGATGAGCCTGCCTAATTGTGCGCCCAATGTAGCTGGCTCCGCAGCTGCAGTCAAACTGGTAGACACACATAGAAGAGGCAAAATTAGGTAGTTTGTCCTTATTTCTCGAACATAGAATAGGGGTGGTTTTGAAGAGACAATGTACTTCTGATGCATAATAAGCTCTTTTAACTGCATTCTTCAAGCGCTGTTATGATTTCACTGATGTTGTCACCGAGGAACTGCAATTTTATGAACATTGGCTTCTTCGAAACTGTTTGGTAAATTGTTGTGTATTGTAAAAATGCTATATATATTAGAGTAGAGCCAGAGAAGAGGATCTAATTGAAAAGTAAATATTTCTTCGCTCAATCTTTTGTGTTTTCCAAATGTCTAAATGGGGATATTTTCTATATTGAAATCTCAAAATCAGTTTACCGAAATCCTACTTGATAGATGAAATCTACAACTATTTAAATAAGAATTACGTTATACTGCCTTAGAATACAGCAAAAGGTAGCTACGGCTCACACAATCCAATTATTCAGATATCGAATCCTTTGTGTGGATAGAATATGAACAAGTTCACTTTTAACAGCTTATGATATTCACTATAATAAGGGTTTTTGTATTCCCTAATGAATGAAACACAAGACGATATTGTCTTTACTGACGTTTCGCTATTTAATGTTAATAGCTTTATCAGTGTATTATTAAACCAGAATTTACAGAATCTCAGCTCATATGTAACAACTTAGCCATCGTTCCTCAGCATGGAGTCATTTTTGCGTTGTCACGTTGACCAATTGGTAACGATAATAAAACCAGGTGGAGATTGTTGAATCTGGTAGGTGTACACAATTATAAAAGCAGTGTGTGTTTACACAATGAAATTGCTTATCACATTCGTGTTGATTGTGTTATTTCATGGAAGGAGGTAGGTGGGGTGTTGTAACTAGCTTAAATTCTGCTGTAGTCCATCATTCCTATTCAGATAATTTGGATTCCATTTGATATGAAGTGCTTCTGATATTAGACGTTCTTTGTGATTTTTGAAATTTTTCTGGATTATTTCAATATTGTTAAGATCAATTTTGTGGTCTGATTACATAGCGTGTAGACCTATGGCTGATGATTTTTCAAGCTTTCCTTATTTATCTGGGTTTATCGATGGCTGAACAGACGCTCTATGATGCTCATTTCTTTTGATTTTGATTTCTCGCTTAAAAAAATCATCAGCCATAGGTCTACGCGTTATAGAATCAGGCCACGGATGATATATGTCTAATGTCACGCAAACTTGAAGACTTGCAAACAAAAACCAACAAACTTGCTGAAGAAACGGATAGTGAAGACAGAACACCAGGTGAACATAAAGAAGACGGAGGTGAAGATAACCAACCAACAGCGACAACAACAAACAGTGCCAATCACCATCAACACGAGAGATTTGACAGAGGTTACTTCTTGGCTTCACTTATTATCTAGGAAGCACGGTTTCAATCACAGGCAGTTGGAATGGATGACGATGTCAAAGCCAGCCAGCCAGAATTGAAAAGGCAAGAGATGCATCCAACAACCTGAAACCAGATTGGAAATCATCTGGATTGCACCCAACCAGTATAAACCACAAGATTCAGATTCTGTTCAACACAAATGTGGAGTCAGTCAGTCAGTCACTGCTTCGATATGGGTCAGAAACATGGCGGCCGTGTCACGAAAGGGATTTCCAACAGGCTGAAGACTTTTATCAACAGCTGTCCCTTTAGCCGGCTGCATACTGGAGATCAAATGGCCGGAAAGAATTAGTTACAAAAAACTCTGGCAACAAACCTACTAAGAGCCGACTGTTCAGCTGAAGAGGACAACAGGAAACAGAACAAAGTGGTGATGTGTTTTTGAATCCCTACGCTCCATCCTGTCAACCAACTTCAAAAATGCTATGTAATTACGATTCAGAAAATTTAAAACATCAAAGTAAGAGAGAAGAAATACGTACAGGAATTAACAGGCAAGTGAAGACTAGATGTAGAATAAATACATTTTCTTAATTTAACATACATTTGTAGTCATTACAGTTTGACGAAATCAAAGAAGTCTAGGCATCTCTTTACGATACAGATTAGTAACGGGTGATTACATAATTTTATGACAGATCTAATCTAACCAACATTGATAATAAATCAAGGCAATATCCAATACAGGTAAAAATGACACGTAAACACCTGAACTTATAGTCGTCTCAAGCATACCATTTTAAATAATCTCATCCTTAACAGCGAAACAGGGATTTTCAAGTGCTGGTTTACGTGGATTTGATTGGTTGCAGGTTTGATCACAGAGTTGGAATTCACGGGCTACGGATAAAGTCCCAGTGGCTGAATGATCTACGAGCTCGCCTTGTAACTGGAAGGTTCTGGGTTCGAACCCTGGTGGGTGCGTACTTCTGGAGAGTGCCAAACGAGGAAGAAACAGCTTTCCACTACTCCCTGGGTTTCTAATAGCCCTCTAACTTATAGTCAAACATGTAAACCAGGATTATCTAGCTGAATAATTTCAGTGACCGAGAATATCGTTTTGAGAAGAGATAACTTTACAATTAATTTTACAATTTACACAATAATAGAATATATAGATAGGAATTTGTTAGACTAACCGTTCTTTAATCTGCTTTGCAACTTCCATACTCAATTCAGGTGGGATATGACTTTCCCTTTCTCTAAGCAGATGTTGAATGAAAGATGTTATATCACGTCCAGCTATCGGTATATGTTTAATACATGAACCAATCACATAACCATCGACTACAGGTATGACATGCGTAACACCATCACCGGAATCAATAACAGTTCCGGTAAGTAAACGACCAGCTCGATTAGAATACCATGAAGCAGCTAACGCTAATACAGCCTTTGAAGTAAACAAAATAAGAATACAATGTAGTAATTTTGAAACAATTTGAGCAACAATAACTCAACAGACGCTAAAAAGCCACAAATACGCAATAATGAGTGTAATTTTATCTGCATGTCTGTATATCTAACAGATAAGTGTACAAGTGTGACCTTAAGCAAATTTATATTCTTTGATAGATCCTACTTGTGCATATAACACAAATCATTTAGAACAATAACGTCTTTTCATGGCGTTACTAGAAGATGGAGTTTATAACAAACTAGTCATTTAGGCTTCATATATCAGTGTAGGTGAAAATGTTGATTACCTACAAGTAATTAATATGACATTTACATGTTTATTGTTGATGGCGAGTTGTGCCAGCAAAACTGTCTAAGAGTCTATAACTACTTAAATAATTAAATGATATTCAAGTTACTGCTCTGACAGACTATAGACTCGAAATTTTCGAAATAGCATAGATTTCTTTCAACAGGAGAAATATAAAGGAAGTCATCTCTTTCACTTATCTAGGCAGCATCGTTCAAATGACAGGCAGTCGTTGGCGCGGATGTGGATGTCGAAGTAAGCCAGGGTCGGAAAAGCAAGAGAGACCTTCACTGATCCGAAATCAATGAGGAAATCCGTTGCACCCAGCATAAAAGCAAGATTCAAATTTTCAAGAATGTCAGGTCAGTCAGTGCTTCTATATGGTTCAAAAATTTGCCGCGTCACCGAAAGCATTTCCATCAGGCTGCATACTTCCATCGGCAGCTGCCTACTCTGGCAGCATACTGAAGATTAAATGTCCAGAAAGGACGAGCAACGATGAACTCTGATGCGCGGCCGGCTAATCAAGGACTTATTGTCTAATAAATAAACCGAAGGAAACAGAGATGGGTCGAACAAACGGTGTAGAGACTGATGAGTGATATCAAGAGAAATGCAATCGCTCGAGTGGAACCTAAATGGGGTAACGACGAGTCGGGTGTCTGATTGTGACATGGAGTATATCGTGTGAAGATATGCCAGCTTATAAAAATCATGGGGTCAGCTAAAAAAAGATAGCAGAGAACAAAATAGAGCGGAGATGGGTTTTTGGAGCTCTATGTTCCACTCTGAACCGAAGGGAATAATAATAATAAATAACATCTAGGTATGCAAGTATACGTAAGACCTAAATCTACGAGTTGTGCCTATTCTCTTCAACGATCTAACGTATCACTTTCGAAAAAAAACTTGATGGAAAACATTATTACATTAACCTTATTAAGAGTAAAGCAGAAGTTATTTGTTTTTACCTGTACACCAATGTAAAGCCCGGGAACATTAAATGTTTCAAACATTATTTCAGCTGTATATTCACGATTCTCTGGAGTATTCAATGGTGGTTCAGTCTGGAAAATAGCAAAATAAGAAGCAGCATTAGTATGTATTAGGATTCTTTTTAAAAAGGTGTTAATCACTTCCAAGAGTTAAACGTAGCATCAGGTAGAGAGAAACAATAATTCAGTTTGCGAAGTACTGAGTACAATTTCGCTTATTCATTCTGAGCTGCTACACTTCAAAGAAATGCACAAGGTAAGAAAATATCGACGTAAAATTACTGCTATAGACAAAAATACATGTAAAAGAAAGAGTCATCACATTAGGAATACTGAATTTCTCTACAATCTGGAAGATAACAAGAAATGAGTGCATCCCTATCATTGTAGATGATTTTAAGTCATCTCAGTAACAACTTAAAAACCCCCACTGAGTAACGGAGGACATCCTGGACTTTTTCAACGGCTGCCACCCTGAAATTCGATTCACATTGGAGGAGTCCGACACAAAAATATCTTTTCTGGACGTTTAACTAACAAGACGTGAACAAGATGGAACACTAAAAAGATCCATCTATATAAACCCGATATGGAACGGACAACTCACCTCTATATACAAAATGAAGCCTAATCCATTCATCGAGCCACAGAATTTGTATCCCTGACACTATGGAAGGGAACCTGAACGCTCTGAGAAGAATCCTCCTTGAAAATGGCTACGCGAAACGTTTCATCATAAAGTCCATGAAGCCTAAACCACTAAAACCGCCCACACTTCCTGCTCCCAAGACTTCCCTATTTGAATCTACAATTCAATGGAGACTCATCGGTAGAAGTACTGAGAAACTGCCTATCCCGCTCATTGAAGAAAACCTATTTAGAGACTGAACTTCGACTAACTTCCTCTACAAAACCAATGATTCTCATAAACGTGAAGGATAAGCTACCACTGCCGGCCTAGTCAATGTAACTATCAATTCACCTGCTCGTGTGGAGCTAAGTATGCCAGCCGTACCCAGTGTTTGCTATCCAAACATTTCATCGAACACTTACCCTCATGGTTTTATACAGGAGAAAAAAGACCCCTTACAGCCTTACCCTGGAACACCTGATCGAATAAGGACACCTAGCTAACCCACAGAGGAACTTCAAAGTTATCTACAGAATACGTGGGAATCTTGATAGAAGAGTACGAATCAAATTTCTTCAAACTGCAGAAACAATGATAATTCACATTTTAAGTCCTGAACTCTGCATACAAAAGAAGTTTGCTCAGTCATTAAATGTACAATGGACCTGATCTGTCTTAACACCAAATACGTTATTTCTGTTTTTTGTTATATTTATTGCATTGTTTTCTTCCCTCATGCCCTATTAAATTTCCACCTCTTAGTACCACTTTTATTAACTTGGTTCGTTCAATTTTAGTTGAACTGTACTCAACCCCGTCAATTATGTTGCATCACTCAGTTTACTTATTTCATTTTAGTTTCTGCCCAATTAACGCTTTTTGTACTATAGCATGTCAACTAAAATTTATAATTCTAATGACACATCTTTAGAAACATATATATATATCTGCTATTGTACAGCTTGAGAATGGTTTCGCTGAAGAGATTAACTATTCGCGGATTATGTTTTTGTTTATACGACTTGAATAACAGTTCCTGTCCATCAATTCTTAGTATCTAGATGAACCCAGGCTGGTAATCTGCACTCATTTGCATGACTACGACATACAATCAATAACTTCATGAAGCGCAAGCCAAAGCTTAGTGCAACGATTAGTAAATTGTTTGAACTTAGCCTTACTTCAGTTATTATTACCGGTAGCTGAAGGCAATGACTCAACTTGAAAAAAAAATATCTACGCCATCTTAACAGATAAGGACACAACCGCAACGGTCCACATGATCGCTGACGAAATCTCAGCACGGATACAGAAGGCTCGTTTCGCATATGCCAGTTTACGCCGTCTCTGGCGCAGACGTTATATCCGGCTACCTATCGACCAAAGACCGTGTGTACTGCTCACCAGTCCACTCCGTCCTCCTTTATGGTTGGCTGTGAGACCTGGCCATCGAGAGTGGAAGACATGAAAAGGCTGGCTGTCTTTGATCACAGATTCCTGTGTTCTATCTCCCGTGTGAAGTGGTATAATAGGGTAAGCAATATTGAGGTTGGGCGTCGAGTGCTAGGTAAGGAGGGGAAATCAAACAACATGGCTGTGAAGCTACATCGACTGAGATGGTTAGGACATGTGTCACGTGTGCCTAGCCATCGCCTTCCTCGACAATGGGCAATGTTAGCTGACATACGGTCAGGCTGGAAAACAGCTAGCGTTGGTCAAACGAAAACATGGCACCGGTCAATGAAATCTACAACAGTTAGTTTAAGCCACGTAGGGAGGTGTAGACTGGCTTCCTGGTTGGGGTCCTCGGGACGGTAAAAACCAATGGCTGGAAACAATCGGTGATATGGCTCAAAATCGTTCTCAATGGCGTAAACTCCTTGTGACTTATAATACTCAATGAAACTATACTGTTCTTCGTTATTACTCATATCTCTGTTTACTGTCTCTATTTTGCATTTCTTCTCTTGCTCTTTGTGCTACAGGGTGTGTGGCGACTTGAACTGCTGCACATCGGTACAATGTTCTATGTTGAAAACAGTCAGTCAGGATGCGAGAACATATTCCAGCATAGGGGGAGAAAGGAAGGGTGTGTGACACTCTTGATCAACTTGTCCCTGTACCAACCCCGATTATGATTTTAAGATCATCCATCCTATTCATGTTAACTTGCCGTGTTTTCTTCGTTCTAAACTTAGAGAGATAGCTGACATCTTGGCCATTCTTAATTTCAAGTCAGACCTTTGTGTACAAAGGAAGTAGGTACAGTCGGTATATCTCTACCTTGGCCGTAGAGAGATATAAACAGTAATTTATTTCTGATTTTGTTCATTCATTTTGCATACCTTTCCCTTACTATTATAAAGATTGCTATTATTGTTAAGCTCTTCACTTTAAACAGTTTCCCGTATTATTCAACTTATCCTGCTAAACTGCTCACCATGCTACGTAGCGTTTTCACTTGCCTACTAATCCTAACAACTTCACACCCCTTTTCCAGGATGTATACATTTTATGAACTATTCTATGCATCACTCAATTCGTTTCATCATTTGATACTGAAATATGATTAAAATCACAAACATTTTGTCATATTTCACAATACTATTCTAGTATAGGTATTCACACTCTTTGGGATATAGTTTCTTAAGAATCATATACATACAAGTGCACAGTTTGGTAATACATTCGTAGGAGTCTGTTTACTGAATATCGTGTTCTTAATGCTACAGTGAGAATTATAAAATAACATCAGATTGTTTATACTTTTACTGGTTTTCATAGATGGTTATTATTGTTATTTCCGAGTGGAGCATTCGGTTCCAACAGCATGTTTCCATTCCACTCTGTTCTTTGAAGTCTTCTTAGCTGGCTGCACGATTGCCTATACACTTTCACTTCCTTTCCATATTATCTCGTCTTTGTCACTCTCGGACGCCCAACTTGCCGTTTGCTTTTGGGGTCCACTCCCTGTCTGACTGCCCACATAGTTAAAATTGATTTCTTCTTGGAATACCTGATATAGCCTGAGCATAAGTGTTGCGTGACCGCAGAGTCCAGTGAGTCATTTGCATTTCAAATGAAAGTCGGTAGAGACTATTCCTGTAGCATACCTTTGTATTTGACAAAGATAAACTGTATGCCAAACTTTAGAATCCTCACTCATAGTATTACGAAGGCTCTATAGTTTGCCAACGTCTTCACCTAAATGGACTATACTGTCAATATGCTTCGAATCGATGAGAAATTTTATGATAACAGATCAACCATTAAGACAATGAATTTGATGAGTGGCAGATCCATGAGTACGTGTACAATAAGATCAAATGAGAACGGTGACAATGAACATCCCTGACATTTACTGGTGGCTGCCCTAGCCTCAAACAACAACTTTATGTGCTCACAAACAGCTGCATAATTTCTAGTAGAATGCCTTGATTGCCAGAATATGCTTCCTCAAAACTCCTTTAAATCCAAGCTTGTCCACAACGCGTGTCGATAGCAAAAGTCATATGCTGTCATTATATTAGGAAGTATGGTAAACGTGGAATGCCGGTAATTAAGTCTGTTTCAGAAATTGTAGAAAGACGAAGATATAGCCAAGGCATTGTCTTTTGGAGACTGGTTGAATATTTTGGCTTCGCTAAGCTCTAACTGATTTTTGTAAAAATCTGTACCGCAGAACAACGACCATCATGACGGCCAAACTCACTTTCTTGTGGTTCTCACGGGTGGACTTGAAGAATGGATACATTTGCCCCATTGTAAACTATTTTAGTTTGTAGAATGACGTCTTTAATCGCTGAATATCCCAATCCGAACACATGTCTCCGATTAAGTCACAAATATCATGTTGGGACGCCATATTGGTTTCACCTACTTCATCAAATTTTCTCAACTTACTATACCTCGTCTTACATAGCTAATCAAAAGCGGTTGAGTATACTTTATTTCATTTAAACACAAATTTAGTACAATATGGGTACCGAGAGGTGCAGCACATAAAAAAAATGCAAAAATATGAAATACAAATAAAATTAATTGGGGACAGTACCGGAAAAGGCATATTTATCAATGGTATTTAAAGGATCGTTCAATTCTCCAAAGTAAGGAGGAAATTACAGCATGTTAGCCACTGACTTGTATTTTCAGTCGAATTGGATACCGTCTCTAGAACCCACCCAGAAAGTCGTGATTTGCGAACAAATGCTTACCCAACACTATCCTTCAACCCACAGCATCACGTCAAGGAGTGACCATCCCTTCGCCTGTTTCACCTAGTCCCAGGGCTAGTGAAACGTATGACAGCCGCTGGGATGAAATTCGCAGGACATGCCCAAGCCATGGAGCCCAGTGTCCGGCCATATCACTTACTGAAATACCCTCATGTCAAAACACACGCTGTCGTACCTCAAAATTACTTTGATGATGCCACTAGACACAAGCAATCGTATGGAGACGGTGAGGATGAAATACGCAGTCACCCAACATTCTCAGTTGAATGGCCACACGACAATGTGTGATCACAATTGATATGATTATGAACAATAAATTTTGCTCGAAACGTCATCCAGTAAATACTGTTTTACTGTGTGATACATCTAATAAACAAATATGGAATTCAGATGGTTATGACGAAATAGTATTTCATGGTGTACGAATACTTGTATTGTGTCGAAATGACTGTCATATTAAAACGAACAAAAGTTACTCTCCTTCACAAAAAGTATGAACGAAACCTACCAGGAGGAAGTAATGGTCTTCAGGTTCTGCCCGAAGTAGCTTAAAGATAAGCTGTTCCATGTAACGTTGCATCAAATCCCAATCTTCAATTATACCATGACGAATAGGCCACTAAATAATGCGTAAAAATGGAAAGGCATGGTGATAGTCTTCAAAATGTATAGAATTACATAATATTCCTGCTATATCCCTATCAACGTCAAAGGAATTTCGTGCGTTCATAATTTACTCCCACGAAATTTTCCATATCACACTTAGGCCACAACTACTTCCGAAATGTAGCAGCTGGAACTCAACTTCAGGATAAAAAATAAAAAGTTTTCAAATAAGGATAAAAAGTTCAGAGACTAATAAATTACAAATTAGTGCTTGTCCCTCGACATAAAGTAACGTATTCAGTGATGCGAAAATAAGTCGCTTGCACAGAAATGATACAGTGAAAAAACGTGTGAAAATGCCTAGCCACTTACCTTAACTGAAAAGTCGTTTTTTCCATCTAGTGCTAATGCTTCGTCACCTATGTGAAAATTAAGATCATCTAGACCAGTTCCAAGACGTCTGGTTTCCTTCGTTCCTACTTTACTGTACTCCCTTACAGCAATGCAAGATGGAATAATTGATTGAGGTTCCGTATTGCCTGCATAACCAATTTTAGAATACCTGAATTATTACTAGAATGTCTATAACGTCGAAATCTTACCCTGTGCCATTATCTATTACAATAGCTGGAAGACGACCCAACATAATGTGGGTATTGATAGAATTTAGAGTAGCCTATGTGAAGTATGTTGAAAGCAATGAGGTGGGTAGTGTTTTCCCCCTCACTAATTCAACAAAGTAGCCGACTTGGCAAAAGACCAAGACTTGTAACACAAAGACGAAAGATCCCGCCAAAGTGTCCCAATGTTCAATGTTCCAATGAATATGAACTGACTTCATTTCTGTCACCTCGTTTCTTGGTGCTGAGATAACGGGTTTCAGAAAGGATAGGGACTGTGCAAAAAACATACTGTTAACATGAGGTGAGTGAAGATAATGCTGGGACATGAATATCCCAGTCCATTTGTGAAGCAAGCTGACACACTATTCTCCTTTTACTGAACAGAGTATACAGCGCTAGTCGTTTGCTTTCCCGTAACTCATAGGTTATCTTCCATTGTGGGTAAATTTTTATTCTGATAAAGTCTCACAGTGTTATACAGTATTATTTACTGATGACGTTTCGAGCACAATTTATTGCTCATAATCATATCCTTTATGTGATAGTAGAGAGGTGGAAATCGAGAAATCCTTTAAAATTATCAATAAACAAAGGAGCTCAATTCTCCTCAAGTTTTCCGAAGCAATTTCTATCAAACGCTTCAAACCAGATTTCTGTGTTCAGGAAGAAGCAGTTATTAGTCTTTGATTGCCATGATAACCGGATGTCTGTGGAGTCCTCAAAAATAAACTTATCCAAATTTTACTATCGTGTAAAAAATGAACATATTGTACACTACTTTGTTTTAACCAAAAAACGCTGTACTTTGAACTTCCCTCGAGTTTAAAAAAATATATATAATTCTGCCTTCGACTCTCCGTCTTCTCCACCATCTCAACTGCCGTCGATCAATTATAACAACCTGCTTTCTATCTCGAATTTTTGCAGGAGCACCGTAGCCTCTTCCTACGCACTTTGGTCGACCTCCGGCAACGTCAACACTGGAGAATTAGAACTGGAGCAGTCTTCCCGCAGCACTTCTGGAGTCTATTACGTTTATTGTGGACTTTGGATCTTTGTAAACCCAAGTAACAAAACTTTAATATATTCTTCCCGTAACTAAACTGATTTGGTATTTTATTTTCTATTTGAATTTGGGTAACTAAGCTAACAGAGCTAAAAGGTCCACCACAAAAAGTTGGTGAGCCCGCTTCGAACATTTTTTCTTCGATGGTTAACCTTTTTTTGAACATTTTTGCGATAGTTAACTCGTTTTGAACATTTTTGTTGCTATTTTGACCTTATAATCTCGCATTGCTTAATTTTTGTTACCATACGTTTTGCTATTTTGTATATCTCTATACTTAAATATTTTTTGACAATGGCTCCACCTAAACGTTCCACTGTTGCTGAAGAAGGTAATAAAGGCGAAGAGACACAGAACTCTTCTAATAACGCCTTACCGGACTTAAGACTACCTCAATTTGATCTGGCTGAACCACGTGTCTGGTTCAAAATCATTGAACACTTGTTTGCAGCTCGAGGTATTACGTCGCAGATTGCCATGTATGGTTGCGTATTAGCAGCAATACCCACGGAAGTACTACGAGAGGTTATCGATGTCATGGACAGCAAGCCTACAGACTCTCAATATGACAAACTAAAAGCTGCACTTATCCAGCGGACCACCCTCTCCGATGAAAAACGCATACAACAACTACTTACTTCGTGTGATCTAGGTACAAAAAAGCCATCCCAACTACTTAGACATATGCGCTAGTTGATTGGATCACACAAAGTAGATGAATTAATTCTACGTCAGATGTTCTTACAACGTTTACCACAAAACGTCCAACAAATCCCAACAATATCTTCTAGGACGACAGACCTTGAAGAACTAGCTAAGATGGCAGACGATATCATGGACGTGTTGTCAAATAATGGCATAAATAGCGTGTCTACAGAGGTAGTACCACCAAGCCCTTCCACATCTATGAAGGACACACCAATGTTTTGGTTACTTTCCCAGTTAACATCTCAAATGCAAGACTTACGACTGGAAGTATCTGAGCTCCGAGCACAGCGGAACCAGTCACAGACAGTATCCAAGCAACGGCGACCAAGATCTAGGCGACGTTCTAGAACACCGTCTCAAAGCCGTAACATTTGCTGGTATCATAGGAGGTATGGGCATAATGCCCTGAAGTGTGTCCGACCGTGCATGTACAATAGTGGTGACGCAACTCAGGGAAACTCCCTAGCCAGGCAGTAATGGCGACGGCTGTTACTGGCAATCATCCCAGTCGCCTTTTCTACGTGAGGGACTTGACTACCGGCACATTATACCTGGTAGATACAGGCGCCGAGGTCAGTGTTATTCTCCCCTCACTATCCAGGCGATCAGCCAAAATACCTGGTAAACTTTCACTCCGCGCTGCCAATCAAACCAACACACAGACGTATGGTGAACAATCAATGATTCTAAACCTAGGATTACGCCGACGTTTCACATGGATCTTCATAGTAGCTGACGTACGTCACGCTATACTTGGTGCAGACTTCCTAAGTCACTTCAATCTGTTGGTTGACATTAGCAATAAAAAACTGATTGACAATTGCACCCAACTCAAGATCCATGGTATTACAGGTGACTACTCTGTTCATAGCATCTGTATAGAAAAGCCGGAGAGTGAAATGTTCTCTACCTTATTGCAACGATTTCCGAAAATCCTTAAACCGTAATACAACGTCCAAGATATATCTCATACAGTTACGCATAAAATCATCACAACAGGACAACCTGTGAAGGCACGTCCACGACGGTTACCACCAGATAAACTAGCAGCAGCTAAGTCGGAATTCGAACATATGATGCAGCTGGGCATCATACGACCATCCAACAGTCCATGGTCTTCACCTTTGCATATGGTTCCCAAAACTAATCACGACTGGCGACCATGGGGAGATTATCGCGCCCTGAATAACGCTACGGTACCAGACCGTTATCCTATAACCTCATCTCCACGACTTCTCCTTGACGTTACATGGAAAGACTATTTTTACCAAAGTTGACTTGGTTAGAGCATATCATCAAATACCAGTCGCTCCAGAAGACATTCCAAAAACAGCAATTATCACACCTTTCGGATTATTCGAATTCTTGAGAATGCCTTTCGGTCTAAAGAATGCCGCGCAAACATTTCAGCGTTTTATGGACCAAGTTACCCAAGGTCTTGATTTTGTCTCTGTATATATCGACGATGTCTTAATTGCCAGCTCATCGATGGAAGAACATATGGAACACTTAAGCTTGTTATTTCAAAGATTTGAACAATTTGGAGTTGTGATCAATCCAAAGAAATGTATTTTTGGTTCCCCATCCATCGAATTTTTAGGACATCGAATAACTGCCGAAGGCATCAGACCTACCGAAGATAAGATAGAAGCCATTAAGAACTTTCCCGAACCTGATTCCTTAGAGAAACTCAGACGTTTCCTCGGGATGTTCAACTTCTACCGACGTTTTATTCCATCATGTGCCTCCATAGTTCAGCCACTGACCGACCTACTTAGACGCAATTCAAAGAAATTTCAGTGGTCTGAAGAAGCAAAAGCAGCATTTTATAACGCAAAATATGCCTTATCCAACGTCGTAATGTTGTCTCATATCAATCCAGAAGCTTCACTCATTTTATGTACAGATGCATCGCAGGTAGCAGTGGGAGCAGTTTTACAACAAAAGTTCAATAATGACACCACTCCACTTGCTTTCTTCTCCAAAAAGTTGGAACCTGCACAAACTCGTTACAGCACATTTAGCAGAGAACTGTTAGCCATCTACCTAGCAGTAAAACATTTCAGCTTCCTACTACAAGGTAGACATTTTACTATCTTAACGGACCATAAGCCTCTCTGCTACGCTTTCACCACTTCGTTGGATAGACACTCTCCGAGAGAAGCCAGACAACTGGATTACATCTCACAATTCTCAACAGACATCCAGTTCATCAAAGGAGATATTCTCAACGTCCCTTGTGAATGGAGTTTATCCTTCTAAATGGAAGCAGACATATATTATTCCTAGATTTAAATCCGGCTTAAAATATGATGTAAAGAATTACAGGCCGATCAATATAACGTCTGTATTGTCAAGGATACTTGAGAAGATAATCAGTACCAAAATCACTGACTTCTTATTGACAGAAAACCTCATAACACCTTCTCAGCATGGCCTTATAAAGTCCAGGTCATGTATGACTTGCCACTTAGAACTATTCGATTTTATAACTGGACTTACAGACCAAAAATTCGTTGTGCTCATTATGTATATTGATCTTAAGAAGGCCTTCGATAAAGTATGTCATAATTTACTCCTGCAAAAACTTAAGGCTTACGGTATATCTGGCAATCTCTTACAGTGGTGCAATTCATTTTTGTGTGGTAGGTCCCAGTCTGTTAAGATTAACGACACTTTTTCCAGTACCACTCCTATATCAAGTGGCGTGATTCAAGGTAGTGTACTAGGACCTCTCTTCTTTCTAATATACCTAAATGACGTCTGTGATGTTATAAAGCACGGCAGACCTTTCTTATATGCCGACGACTTGAAGATAGTCTACCACAGTACCACCCAAGAAGTGACAAATCTGTCTCATAAAATCCAATCGGATATTGATAATATTGAGACATGGTGTAAGTCGTGGATGATGCAGATCAACGTGGAGAAGTGTGGACTGTTATGCCCAGCTCGCTTACGTACCACACCACACATAACTATGTGCAACAAGCCTATCACTATCTTTCCTTCTGTACTTGACCTCGGGCTTCGTTACTCCGCTGACTTTAAATTCTCTCTCTATGCCACCAACCAAGTTTCTAAAGCCAGAAGATTACTTGGATTTATATTTCATAACTTTCAAACACAAGAATCTAAAATGTTACTTTATAAAACACACATACGGCCCCTCCTTGAGTACTGTCCATTTATCCTAGACAGCACCTCTGTTAAGGACAAACTAAAGATTGAAAGTGTTCAAAGGAGATTTACAAGTAGAATCCTAGGAACAAGTCTGAAAGTTCCCTACAACTATCGTTGCACAACTCTTAAGATCGAACCCCTTTGGTACAGGCGCCACCGACTTAACCTCATTCTCCTTTTTAAAATAATCAGAGGAATAGTATACTTTCCCAATAATAACCTTAACTTTACTTC